AGGGTTTATGTTTACTGAGCTTTAGTTTGTTTATCCTGCAATGGGGAGGGGCAGTCTCTGGCTTTGTTTAACCAGTGAAGAAAGTCACTCCTCAGGATGCCGAGCTATCTCTGCCTGGGCAGGATGACTTTCCCTTGGGAGGAGCTGAGCCTGTCAGGTAAGGTCAGGTTCCTGTGACTTGCTGAATGGCTCCAATTGTTTTCTTCCCAGGCTAGCTGTTCGACCAGGCCATTGTCAGATGGAGATCTCTGGTGGTGGGGGAGGAGCTGCCATCCCACTGTGGCTCTGTAAGAGGGAGTGAGGATGTCAGGGTTTTACTCATGCCAGACTCCTGATTCCTGGGCCTTCCCTGGTCCGCAATCAATAGGATAAAGTTTTATGCTCCTTGTCAGTTCTTGCTCATGGTGAGTAGAATCAGCTCACACGCCGCGTCTGGTGCCTTTGTCCCGGATTCTCTTTGTTGGTATGGGGCTGGGCTGCTGCTGCTAGCAAGTGCTCAGATCTGTCTCCTTGACCAAGCTGCCTGGATTTTCCCTCTCTGGCCAGACTCTCTGTACTGTGATGGCACACTTGGTGTGATTTTCTAGCCTAGGACTGTTCACTGGAACACTAAACTGCTTTCTATGTGAGAGCTTGTTTAGCCTCCAGCTTCTCCTCTGCCATCTTCCTCCAGTCCTAATGTCTTTATTTTTTTAATTATGTTTTAATATTATCATATACAATGTGGTATGTGTTTACTTGTACATTTATAAATTACATTTAGCTTCCACAGATGAGAGAAAATATATTTCCTTTGCCTCTCTGGGCTGATATACTTAATTTCTTCCAGATCCATTTTTTTTTTTTGCAAATGATGTATATAATTCTAACGGATGAGTAAAATTCCATTGTGTATATAGGCCACATTTTCTCAATCATTTCATCCACTGAGGGGAATCGGGTTCTTTCCATACTATGTCTATGGTGAATAGTGTAGCAGTGATCATAGTTGTGCAAATGGCTTTAGTGTCCCCTGATTTGAAATCTCATGGATAAAGGCCCAAGAGTGACATTGCTGGATCATAGGGTAGTTGTTAATTTTTTTTGAGAAATTTCCAAACTGTTTTCCAGAGTAGTTACATCAACCTCCATTCCCAAAAGTATATTAGATCTCTGTTTGCCCCCACATCTGTGCCAGCCATTTGTTCACCCAGTTATGGCTTATTTGCTGGTGAATTGGAGTCAAGAGTTTCATGGACTTTTCTGTCTCAGCTGGCTTTGAATCACAGTTCTCAGATCTCAGCCTCTTAATTAGTTAGTATGTAAGCATGAGTCACTAGCTCCTGGCTTGGGTCTGCTTTCCACTAGCCGTAGTCTTGCTTTATTAACGATTATGAACTATGTATTCTCTATTTTGTGTGGGAACTATTGTATCTCGTGTCCTTTCCATCCCTTTCCAGAGTTCTTGGAGAATAGTTATTTTCTGATTGCTACTATAGTAGTTCATTTTCTTGCTAAAATCATAGAATTTGATGTAATTCATTTTATTGTTGAGAGCTGTGCTCTAAGTACTTTCTTTTTGTCTTGAGGGCTCCAAAGTAGTGAGACATGACCAGATTCCCACTAATTATATCTTTGTCAAAATATGATCAGTCTCTTCACTGTTTATAAAATAGCTGTATTCGTTCTTGCATCTGCTTGACACCCAGTGTAGGGTCTGATATAGTAATCAGTTTCTCACCATATTTTCAAAGGTAGTTTTTGAGGCCATTATGTAGACATTTCACAAATAAATTAAGTACATTAAAAGCATTCACATTTCATCACAGCCATTTTGAGGATTTTGTTCACCTATTAGATTTTTATTCCAATCTAGAAATAATTGTTCTAATATTATCCATATTCTTTTGATTCTGCATGAATTTACACATTATTGTTTAATACAACTCTTTCATTGTTAAAATGTACAGCATTATTAAGTGATTTATAATAAAACATAATGAGATTATAACTTAATCTGATTTACTTAATCAGATTATAATAAATCACAAAGCTTTGTCCACTTGATTTAGTTTTTGTGGTATTAACTAACCATGGCTCCAACTTAGTAACTCTTCTACTGGTACTTAAAAGCTTTTGATCATACAGAAATACTCATTTTATTTTCTGAAAACTAAGCAAAGCTGAAAAGGAAGGAGATAGGGTCCACAAAGCTCTCTGATGCTATGACTCTAGTTACTTGAAGATCTCCCATAAAGTCTCACATGCCAAAGGCTCCAGTCTCCCAAAAGCTCTACCCGGGAACAAAAACCTTTAAAGGAAATTCACTTTCAAACTATAGCACTTACTTCTAGAATTTAAGTAGTTTTATATTTTTTTTTTTTTTTTTAAATTTTTTTTTTTAAATTTTTTTTTTTTTAAATTTTTTTAAATTTTATTTTAAGTAGTTTTATATTTTATGTTTAAGGTTATAATCTATTTTGAATTAATTTTTGTAAGGTCTATATTTTCATTTTTTGCATGTAAGTATCTATTTTTAAAGAACCATTGTCATTGTCTTTGCTGTATTATCAAAGATCTGTTAAGTATATTTATGTTGGTTTATTGCTGAGCTCTCTATCCTGTGTCATTAATCAATTTGTCTATTCTTTCACAATACCACATTGTTTTGATTACTTGAGCTTTATTGTAAGTCTAAATTGGGGCAGTCAGTTTTCCAACTTTTTTTCAACACAGAGTTGTTACAAGTCTTTCTCCTCTTTATTTAAACTTCAGAATCAGTTTGAAGATTTCCTCAGAATAACCTGCTGAAATTTTAATTGGGATTGTGTTATATCTATAGATCAATTTGGGGAGAATTAACATCCTGAAATGAGTGAATCTTCCTAGCCATGAACATAAAATCTATCCACATTTATTATTATTTATATTTTAACCTGTCTCTTTGGAGATTTATAGTTTTCCTTTAGAGTTTAAACATGGTCTGTTAGATTCATTTCTAGGTATATCATGTTTGGCAGAATTAAAGTAAGTAATACTGTATTTTATCATCAAATTCACTTGAGCATTTATGGTAAGAGAATAGTTATGGACTTTTGTATGTTTACCTTGTTTCCCTCAATTTTCTTCTAACTAGTTTCAGGAGTTTTCTTTTTCATTAATATTTTTGGATTTTCTACATAAGTAATCATGTATTCTGTGAACAAACACAACTTTTATTTATTCCTTCCAAACTTTATATTTTTATTTTTTATAACAATAGTTATAAATTCCAGCATCTTTGGAAAGGGTGGTTTAGAAGGGCAGTTAAATATGTTAACTTTAGATTGTTTTGAAATATTCGTGATAAAATTGAGTAAGTTCCTATTTCTCTTTTAGTTTGCCGAGTTTTTTTTTTTTTTTAAATTATGAGTAAGTGTTGGATTTTTGCCAGTCTTCTCTTAGTAGGGTCAGGTGTTTTGTTTTTCTCTTTAGTCTGCTTATGGGAAAAATTATTTTAATCTATTTTCAGTTGTTGAAACATCTTACATCCTTGGTTAAGTCTCACTTTTTCATTGTATAGAATTTTCTTTCTATATTATTGGATTTCATTTGCTAACATTGCCTTTTATTAACAAATTTTACATCTCTGTTTATATTTATTCATCTAAGCTTTTATTTTCTTGTTATGTATATCTGTTTATGTGCTAGGGAAGTGCTGGTCTTGCTAAGTGAAGTAGTAAATATTTCTTCTGCTTCTATCTTTTGGAAGAGTTTTTATAGAATTGGTATAATTATATTGTTAAATGTTTGGTGGAACCAATCTGGGCCTGGAGGTTTAGTTTAGAAGATTATTGACTCAATTTCTTTAGTAGATTTAGTCCTATTCACATTGCCTAGTTCTTCTTGTGAGTGTTGGAAGATTATATACTTCAAAACTGATGATTTCATATAGATTATCAAATTTATGGGCATAGTGCATAGTATATTTTATCATCCTTTTAAAGCCTATGGTATGTGTAACAGTGACTCCTCTTTATTTTCTGATATTAGTAATCTACAGTTTTTTTTTTTCTTCATGCTTACTTGCTTTTATAGTTAATCTTATCATGGGGAGTTTTAGTTGGGTCCTTGGTTTTGCTTTTGAAATGGGTTTTACTCAACTCTCCTGACTTGGCTTGCTAAAATAAGTCATTGGGTCCAGGAGCTAGAAAGTTCTTGTCATATCAGAGTAAGTATGTAAGGATGATCACCCAGGAGACTTAAGCAGGAGTAGTTTTGTTAATACAAAACAAAAGTACATCCTCTAGATGAGGTTTCTAGATAAAAGGGGTGATCACTCCTGGAAAAGCTCATGCTTGTAATCCTATCTAGTCTGGGGCTGATATCTGAAGATCAATCATAGGAAGCCAACCTGGTTACAAAAGTCTGTGACATTCTTATCCTCAGTTAACCACAAAAAGCCAGAAGAGGAGGTGTGGTTAAACTGGTAGAGTGATAGCCTTGAACACAAAGGTTCAGCGGCAGTGTCCAGGTCCAGAGGTCTAGCCCCAGGACCAGTGCAAATAAAATTAATTAATTAATTATTGAGCCAAATGTATTAGTGTCATGGCTCAAGTAGGAGAGTGTCTGACTAACAACCACAAAGCCCCAGTTCATTACCCCTCCCTCCAAGTTCTTATTCAAAATCCTGCATATAATAGATGTGCATGTCATAATATCCTGGATTTAATTCCTGACACAATATATTCAAGAACATTGCAAGCTGACAAGAGCCTAGCAATCAGGCATAATAGATGCTATCTTAAGGAAGTGCAACTAAGCAATGAAAGTTAGAGGAAGGTTTTCAAACACAGGTATCAATTCCAGCTATTATTACTTTGGATTGGTTAGCTCTATTCAACTTCAGTATACTAAATATTTTAGAATTTTCACTTAAAGGACCACTGGAAACAAAGTACTGTAGTAATTGTTTAATTATGCCTTCATTTGAGTGGGATTACAGACACTTTTGAAATGTCTTTTATTTGATTATTTTGTAGGTAAATCCAAAGCAGATAGCAAAGTTGCTATGATGGCCAAGAAAAGGGTAAGATCATGTTTTTTTAAAAAAATTAATAAATGAACTTCAAATTCTATTTGTGTGATGCTATTTTACAAAGAAAATAAAATTATTTAAAAACAATATGACAAATAATCTATTTTTTCTTCCAAATGTTAGTTGAACATATATTTGTTTTCTTAGACTGACTCTACAAAACCAACATTTATGATTACTTGTATCAGTGTTTCAGAATTGGGAAATAGAACAGTAGAAATAAGAGGACAAGTGAACAATTACTTTCCTTTAAATAATTGTTTATTTTATATCTCATATACATACTCATATGCAAAAATGTTTCTTATGCATACTCATATACTAAAGTGTTTTTTCTTCTACTTTAAATTGCTATAGTATTTACAGATTATCTTATGGAAGTTTTAAATAATTGGAGTTTATAGCTTAGTATGGGTATTGTATCACTCATTTGAAATTTTTGTTTTCTTTTATTTTTGTCTTATTTGGTTACAAGTTCTCACCATGTAGTTCAGATTGGCCTGAACTTGCTATACTTCTGCTATCCAAGTGCTGGGAATATAGATATGTCATTACCATCGGGCATTTCAACCAATTTTTTTTTTGGAGGGGGTCCGGTCGTGAGGCCTGAACTTTGGCCTGGGCGCTGTCCCTCAGCTCTTCAGCTCAAGGCTAGCACTCTACCACTTGAGCTATAGTGCCACTTCCGGCTTTTTTGTTTTTGCTTATGTGGTGCTAAGGAATCGAACCCAGGGCCTCATGCATGCAAGGCAAGCGCTCTACCACTGAGCCACCTTCTCAGCCCCTCAACCAATTTTTTGAACACAGACTTTTTCATGAAAAGTTATAAACTCAGTAGAATTTCTGAACTATTTCTCTTTTTAAAAATTGAATATATTCTGAATATGTGAAGAAATGCTTACTTACTGTCAAAAATATGATTTATATAGCATGAACCTTGATGTTCTCAAGTGGCCATGCTTTTATGGGACGCTACTGAAAAACATACATAGAACAAGTTCTTCCAGTTTGTTCACAATAAAATGAATTATGGTGTAAAGGAAAGATGATGGTAGGATTTCCTGTGCTGACTGGTGGAATTGGAACAGGGTAGACCCTAGGGAGTTTCAACAAAGGTGATTAGGCATGAATCTAGAGATGACTGGGAAATTGGATGGGCATCATTTTGTATTTGTGTGTGTGTGTGTGTGTGTGTGTGTGTGTGTGTGTGTGTGTGTGTGTGTGTGTTATAAGTCCTTTGAAAACCAGACTGTTTCAGATTGGTACTAGTGGCCTTAAAGCTAACTACTCACGAGGCTGAGATCTGAAGGATAGAGATTTAAGACAGGAAAGTCCATGAGACTGTGTATCCTATCCAAAGTAACCAGCATCATAGATACCATAGTTTTGTTATCTAATACATACACACACATACACTCACACAAGTGTGTGTGAGTGCTGGAATTTGAACTCTCTGCCTTGCACTTCAGTCACATCCCCACACGTTGTTGCTTTAGCTATTTTTCAAGTAGGGTCTTTAGGCCTGGGACTCTTCTCAGACAGTTATCATCCTACCTAAAGTATCTCTTATAATTTGGAGGTCAGGCACATGTCAACATACCTGGCTTATTTATTGAGTCAGGGTCTCACTCACTGTCTTCCCAGTCTGGTCTCAAACTTTCATCTTTCTTCTCTCAATTATCAGGTATTACCCCTGGAAGACAGAATTTTAGAATCATTGGGAAGTTACCATCTTAATTAAAGGTTAAAATTTTTTTATTAAGTTGATGTATTTATTTACAGCCATTTTTCTATTATGTGTTTAGTTTTATAGTTATAATTGTTGATAATTATAATTATAATATACTTACAGTTTTCATAATCACAAATATTTTCCACATTGTTTTATGTTTTTTAAAATTACTTTTAGAATTTGTTTATGGACTAGGAAATTTTAAGAATGAGTGTGGATGGGATAGATTGGAGAAGGGAAGATTCATCAAAACTCATTCATTGTACACACAAATAGACATAATAAATTGAAACCCCTTTGTATAACTATTTGAAGATCATTTTTAAATATTTGAAAAATAAAACTATTTAAAATTTCTGGATAATTTTGCCCTGCAAAAGAGTGAGGTTTTTTAGCTAATGATAATTACAATTCACATAGTACAAGAAAATATCTATACATTACAACTAAATACAGACATATTAATGAATTTAAAGTCATTGATTCATACTTGTTCAATAACTCATTTTGGAGATTCTATAATTTTTCTAGTCTCTTTGACTCTCTTCACTTTTCTTTTTTTTCTTTATTTACCAGGTATAATTTCAAATTAGAAAAGGACTTCTTTTTCAGTTTATTCTGTCTGTCTGTCTTACATATAGAAATTATGTGGCTATATCTTTTTCCTAATGCTTATTAGTGTCAATAATTTAGTTAATGCCATTTAAAAGATAAAAATTTATGATTACTCTCTTAATTTATACATTTATGAACAAACAATTTAGAGTATTATACCTTATGATGAAAAAATTTTCTCTAGAGTTATTAACAAATTCTTCATAGCAAGCAGAAAATTTTCATTAGCTTGGTTAGTAGAAGTTGTTTACAATTTATGACTGAATATCTAGATGTTCCTGTTAATTACTAAGCTCGCAATTATTAATATGGAATTTATGTACTTCAAGTCACTTAATTTACTTAGCTTTATATGCGTATTTCCCCAAAGATAAATATCCCATCAGATCCTTACTGTTGGTTTCTAATCCTAGGCAGAGAGAAAGCTCAGAAAATACTAGAAAGCAGTGAACCCTTCAGAAAAGTCACAGTTGGGTTTAAAATTCATTTAGTTTCCTTTTGGAAACCAAAATTTTTTTTGTAAACTAAAGTGTTTTTCAGATGTAATCATTGAGATTTTCCATCACAAGTTTTGCATTTTCTGTACTGTTAGATTAGTTTTCTTTCAGTTGTCAAAGAATAAAATTTCAATAAATTGAATTTAAAGATCTAATTGGTTTTATTAGCCATTCATAAATCAGTCAGTAGGATATAACAGAATGATCATATCAACTTTTGAAAGCAGCCCCAGCAATATAGAGATAGCTTAATATAAAAGGCAGATTGCTTAATATCAGACTATTTACAGCTGTTTTCCTAGTGTGGGTTACAATAGAGATAGTTTCTTTCGCATGCTGGCTCAGGTTAACTGGACCCCTTTAGATTGGTTGTGGTAAGTCTTTTATTATTGCTATTTACTTTTTAAATCATCTGTAAGTAGTTGTACAAAGAAGGTGCTGTGTAACAAAGCAGTTTATTAATACCATGCATGTTGATCAGTGTCACCCCTTCAACATTCTCCACCCCTTTCCCTTACTTTTCTTAGTGTTGTGATATATACGATGAATTCTTGAATACATTCCCACCTTCTCCCCTCTTCCCTTCTTATTCCCCTACTTAGATGTACCCATTTCCTGGCGTTGGTTTTGTTGGGCTTTGACCTTATCCTTCTACAAGATTATACTATTTGAGCTCTCCATGGAGTCTATACTATACTTCAGTTAATCCATTAGTAAACAGTTGTATATCACCAATGTATTTACTTATGGATGCATCATAGGCCCATTCTAGCTAGATCATGGTAAGCCTTCTACTTCTGAGAAAACTAGCCTGTTCTAAGTTCAGTGTAGTTATTTGGCACCTAGAAAAAGCGACTCTATCCTGGTTTGTTGAAGGAGCCTCCATAACAGTGGCCTCCCTCCCTTCCTTCCTTCCTTCCTTCCTTCCTTCCTTCCTTCCTTCCTTCCTTCCTTCCTTCCTTCCTTCCTTCCTTCCTTCCTTCCTTCCTCCCTCCCTTCCTTCTTTCCTTCCTTCCTTCCTTCCTTTCTTTCTCTTTCTTCATTTATTTATTTTGTCAGTTGTGGGGCTTGAACTCCCAGCCTAAGCACCATCTCTGAGCCTCTTTGTGCTCATTTGAGCACAATTTTGAGTCATTGTGCCATTTCTGATTTTTGAGTGGTTAATTGGAGATAAAAATCTCACAGGGACTTTTCTGTCTGTGCTAGCTCTGAACCATGATCCTCACATCTCGGCCTCCTCAGTAGATTACAGACATGAGCCACCAGCACCTGGCTTTCCATACATTTTATTTAACACCCTTCATTTGTCTGGATAGCTAACAGTGAAATATATTGTGTTAAAAAAGGAAGTTTTTTTGAGAGTTTAATGTTTTAAGTTCTCTCTATATTCTGGATATTAGGCCATTGTCTGATGGCAAAAACCTTCTCCCATTCTGTAGGCTGTATTTTTAGCTTGCTGCCTATGTTCTTTGCCATGCAGAAACTTTTTTGATGCAGTCCCATTTATCAAGTCTTTTTCTCTTTGATTTGCTGTACTTCTGGATCTTTATTCAGAAAGTTTCTACCTATGCCCACCCAGGAGCCCTACTCTTTCCTGTAATAATTTCATGGTTTCAGATCTTACATTAGGGTCTTTAATTCATTTTGGATTGATGCTAGTGCAAGGTGATATATAAGAATCTAGTTTCAGTTATCTGTATGTGGATATCTAGTTTTGCCAACACAATTTATTGAAGAGATAATCTTTCTTCCAGCCTAAGTTTTGGGCTCCCTTATTGAATATTAAATGGTTGCAGGTCTGTGGGTTTATTTCTGTGTCGTCTATTCTGTTCCATTGATCTTCAGGCTGTTTTTGTGCCAGTACCAAGCTGGATTTTTAATTACGATAGCTCTGTAAAAGAGTTTGAATTTGGGATTTAAGGGAAATCACAAATAATGCAGTTTTTTGAAAGCCAAAATCCAAGCTCAGCAAAATAAAATACCTGGAAGCAGATACTTGGGAAAGGGGTAGGTGACTAAAGGGGAGAAGAGGGGCAAAATGAAGATGGTAGTTTGATTTATAGCTGATAAAATTTAAGAGTGAGGGAAATGGTGTTTAGGGGAGGAATGGATGAGAATGCTGAAAGAGATGACATTGATGACGATATATTGTATTTATAAGCTACTTTGTTAAATTGCAACTCTTCTGTACAACTACTTACGGATAATAATAATAAATTAAAATTAAAATAATGAGAATAAAAATTGCCCAGAAGAAAAAGGAAAGGAACCTGAATTTCTAAGTTTTATCCTAGGTATAGATATTCAAAGATCATGAAGACTTTCATACTATTGAGACACATTTATTCTGCTGTTTGTGTTGTGCAGAGCTTACAAAACCCTTATGGCATCCTGACCTTCCTGGTTCTGTAGCTGACAGAGACATAGGTTTGCAGCTGTATAACAGGCATTGCCTGCTTAGTGTTGCAACTCAGCAGCAAACAATGCCTGCCAATGTTGCAGCTACACTGAAGGCTATGCAGCTATAGCCTTCTTAGATTCTTATTTCAGGAATTCAGCAATAAAGTCCACTGATGAGAGAAGATGAGTGCAGAGAAATTTACTAAGAAGAGAAGTATCTCATTCGAAAACCATAGCTGCTGTGTGTGTGCGTGCGTGCGTGCGTGCGTGAGTGTGTGTGTGTGTGCAGCCTTGTGCACTCTGTGGCTTGAGTCTAGGGCTGTGCTCTGATTGCTTGTCCTTTTTATGATTAGGTATTTAGGAAGGTGACTTTGTATTGGTCAGTTCCCAACACTTGATTGGTTGTTAATTTCTAATCTGATCCCTTTTACAAATCCTCTCCCCAAGATAGTGGAAAGGTTATTGTAACTAGAAGAAGCTAGATAGGGACAGAAGCAATAGTCAAAACAATGTGTGTTTTGCAACTGATTTCTGCTTGCTAGACCAACATACTGTCCAGGGGCCTTGGGTCTTTACTAATCTACCTTTTCATTATAAGTAAAGTACCTGAAAGTGAAGCACTTCTTTACTATATTAGAGCTCCTTGAAGTTTCCTGTTACTCCTATCTTCAGCCACAATTGGAGGTGTTAAAATCTTTCATGCCTTTTGTTCAAGATGACCTGGTGACCAACTTCTATTTTTAGGGAAAGGACTCTCCTATGTGTCAGCTCACAGCTTGAATATACATTATGATGTTTTATCCTTCTGTCATCAAAGCTGAGAAATATACAGTACAGCATCAAGTCAGAGCATATAAATCTGATATGAACATAATGTCTGTGTTTTTAACTTAAAGGCATTTCTAGTCAATGGTCTTAATTATTATTATAGGAATATTTTTCTTTTCAGGTACTTTCTATACATATATGCTTCCACATTTCATCCTTCTATCAGGAGAAGAATTAATAATCTGATGGCTAAAATAAATGGCATTTATAGCCTGTTATATTTGTTGGATGTGAAAGTACCAGAACAATGCTTCATAAACTTTAGTTTGCTTAAGAGTTACCTGAGAAGTTTATTTAAACACACAGACCAAGGTCTTATTCTGGAGTTTCTGATTCAGCAAACCTAGTGTGCACAAGAATTTACATTTCAAACATGCTCTCAGGTGTAGACCACTGAGTCATACTGTGTTTTTTTGTTTTTTGTTTTGTTTTGTTTTGTGGATGACACTGGGCTAGACAAGAGAATTGTCTATGCAATCATGGGAAACGAACTGGAAAGGATATGATAGGTAAGAATTACAGTATCTACATACATATAGTGAGTTAGTAGTCTCCATCCCATCCCCCCAAAAAAAAGTCTGCTCAGAGCCTAAGACTGTCACTTCATTTGAAATAAAGGTATTTGTGGATGAAACTGCAGCAAGAATATTGTGATCATATAATATGGGATTAGGTAGGCCCTCAATGTAATAATTATCCTCATAGAACATAGCCAACAGAACTATAAGGTGTTACATTTCTATCACCTTATCAGTTTTGTGATAATTTATTATAAAAATGCTGGTTTGGAAACTAGCATACCTGAAGATCAACCATACTAAAAGGCTAAGTTCTCTCAGTTATATACTATAAAGAAAAAAAATGAGCTCATGGCCCAGTGTTAAATAATTACAAACTAAATTGGAAACAAATGTAAATAAGTTGTGACATTGTTCAAAAAGAAATGTACTCTTTATCTGACATATAACTGTAACCCTTTTGTACATCACCTTTATAATAACAATAAAATATATGAAGAAAAAAATAAAATTAAAAAAGAATTATTTTTACAGAAGAAGACCCTGAAATGCAGAGTGGCCTTTTCAGCTGCATTTTTAAAGTATTTAATTTGTGTCAGATTCTTTCTAGATATTAGAGTGGTCAAGTGACTTAACAGAATTGATAAGGGTTGGCATTCAATTTTGCCATGCTGAATCTTGCTCCTTTTTGTCAAACTTTGTTAAAGGTTTGGAGCAGAACACAGAGCATTTTGGCAAATATTGACTAATTTGCTTAGGTTACTGTGGAGTATTTAACAAAGTAGAAAATGAATTTATTGTGCACAACATCAATCTACCAATGATTAGTTTTCACTTTGTTACATTACTCATATATTTCTCATTACAATTTTACTTCATAGTCAAAAGTAAAGATAATTTAAGCTGGTTCTTAAAAATGACACAGAAGGGGGGTGCCAGTGGCATGTGCCTATAATCCTAGCTACTTAGGAGACTGAGATCTGAGGACTGTATTCAAAGCTAGCCTATGCAGGAAAGCGCATGACACTCTTAACTCCAAATAACAACAAAAGAAAAAAAAATGCTGAAAGTGTTGCTCAAGGGGTAGCGTGTTAGCCTTGGGCATGAAAGTTCAGGGACAGTGCCTAAGTCATGAATTCAAGCTCCAGTTCTGGCAACTTGAAAAAATAGCTCTACATTGTTTTGGGAAATAAAGATGAATGATTTATACAATGATATACTTTTTTTTTACAATGTGCAAATACACAGAAAGAGATTTAGTTACCTTGAGTGTAATGATGTGAAAATAAACTAATTGGTCTATAGAATTATAATTATTGTACTATGAATCCCTGAATGTCTCAAACCTCTCTTGAGAAATCATTAAAGCATTTTAGATATTTAATCATTCTTTGAATCTTATTAAATTCAAGCCTTTACATTTTCAATAAGTATAGTATTTCTAGCTGCTCAATAATTTGTATATCTTAAAAAGTTGTTTCTACCGGTTGGTTTAATATCAGTATAATCAAGATCAAGGAGACAGAGTGAACTAGACAAATGAACCAAGAAACAGAATTATACAGATAGGTTAAAAAGAAAATACAAGAAATAAAGAAATTAGGGCTGGGAAGGTGGCTCAGTGGTAGAGCGCTTGCCTTGCATGCATGAGGCCCTGGGTTCGATTCCTCAGCACCACATAAACAAAAAGAAAAAAGCCAAAAGTGGTGCTGTGGCTCAAGTGGTAGAGCGCTAGCCTTGAGCTGAAGAGCTGAGGGACAGCGCCCAGGCCCAGAGTTCAGGCCCCATGACCAGACCCAAAAAAAAGAAAAAAGAAAGAAAAGAAATAAAGAAGTTAACAAGCATTTTGAAGAGAAAATTGCTTTGAAGTCTGGCCTAAAGGTTCAGAGGAAATTTTATGAATTCCCTCCAATGTCTAAATAAAAAATGATACTGCTAAAATCCAGACAGCAACAACAACACTTCTTTCCCTGGTGGTGTTGTATTGCCTGATCTTTCTTCCACGTTACTGACCATCTAGTTCTCTTTGCATTCATTGGATATATCGTTACATGCTTCTGTGATATAATGTTTTTAATTCCTGAAAGGGTATAAAACTTAAAGTCATTTTATTCTGTATTTTTATGTGTTTGTGAAGGTGAATAAGGAAAGATGTTACATAATATAGAAGATGTGTGTCCATATCAGACCATATAGCATTCCTGGAATCTGAGGAGATTGGTACAGTTTCAGTGACTAGATTATGAGAATTTTTTGGTAAAGCTTATAAGTGTGAACCAGTTGTTCTTCAGCTAAATTGTCTGAATTTTATAGGACTATGATTTTACAAGGCCTATTATACTTGTGATATAGAGCATGTTATACTTAGCAGATATAATTAATTCCATATGAACTAACTTGATTTTTGTTCTTCTTTTATAGATACATGTTTCCAAAAGTAATATTAAAAAGAAAAAGCCCAAATTTAGAAAAAATAAAAGGTAGACCTCATAAAATTAAATATATAATAATTGAAATGTACAGAATATACTCAATTATTATGTATTTCTTCATATTCCCAATGTTGTTTCATTAGGAAAAAGTGTTCAAAATTTCTAAGAGAGCCAAGTAGCTCACACATGTAATTCTATTTGGGAGGCTCAGATAGGTTCATGGATTAAAGCCAGACTTGGCATACACGTGAGACTATTTTTCAATCAGTAGCTGGGCACAGTGGCTTGTGCCTTTCACATGAGATGCATAGGAGCTGAAACTGGGATGATTGCAGTTCTAGGCCAGATAAGGCAGAAAAGTTTAAAAGATTCCTTCTTAAGGAAAAGAAGCTGGGTGTGGTGGTTGCAGGTATGTCGCCCTAGCTGCAAGGTTTAGCCTAAAATAGACAGATTGTGGCCCAGTCACACACCAGGAAGATCTATCTCAAACATAACCAGTCAAAAAATGAGTAGAGGCATATCTTAGCAGTAGAGTAGTTGGGCCTGAGTTCAATCCCTACTACTACCAAGTAAAAAATAAAATGAATAAAAGTGTTAGTCTTAGAAGTATGAAAGTTGGGTGTCAGTGGCTCATACCTATAATGCTAACTACTCAGAGGGCTGAGATATGAAGGTATCAGTTTGAAGCCAGTCTTGCAAGAAAAAACAGTGAGATTCTTATCTACAACTGACAAAGAAAAAGCTGTACATAGAGGCATGGCTCAAATGGTAGAGACCATGCTGTGAACAAAAATAGCTAAACAAGAGCCCAAGATCCTGAATTAAGCTGGATGCCGTTGGCTCATGCCCATAATCCTAGCTACTGAGGAGGCTGAGATGTGAGGACCATGGATCAAAGCCAGCTTGGACAAGAAAGTCTTTGAGATTCTTTTTTTTGGGGGGGGGGGGTCCGGTCGTGGGGCGCTGGGCCTGGGTGCTGTCCCTCAGCTCTTCAGCTCAAGGCTAGCGCTCTACCACTTGAGCCACAGCGTCACTTCTGGCTTTTTTCTTTTTGCTTATGTGGTGCTGAGGAATCGAACCCAGGGCCTCATGCATGCAAGGCAAGGGCTCTATCACTGAGCCACCTTCCCAGCCCGTCTTTGAGAGTCTTATCTCCAGTTAATCACAGAAGAGCCAGAAGTGGTGTTGTGGCTCAAGTGGTAGAGACTAGCCTTGAGCAAAAAGGAGCTCAGGGATAGTGCCTAGGCCCAGAGTTGAAGCTCCAAGACAGGCAAAAAAAAAAAAATTATGACTTCAAGCCCAAGTAACCCCCCCCCCCACACACACACCTTCTTTGTATTTTTTCAGAAAATAAATCTTTAAAAACTTTCAGTATTTATCTTGGCTATACATCCCAGTAACCTCATCAATAGATATAGAATCTCTAATTATCATAATTATCTCTATTTAAAAGATGGAGATTTCCAGCTTATTTTCTTAAGATCTTCTAGTTAGAGAAAATCCAGTTGCACAAATATTTTCTGGCACAGTAGGAGAAGCATGACTGCAGTCTGACTAAACTGGTTCTGTCATGCTTAGCCATTTACCTGGGTTGCCAGATTTCCCATTTCTTCTGATTTTGTAAACTCCTTAATTTCTTTACATAATGTAAGAAATAGCTGATACATGTTTTGAATGAAAATTACCTGAGAAAACCTGTAGAGAGTGCTTAGTCGATTATCAGTACTTCGTACCTAGTCAGGGCTCAAGCTAAAACAACTTAAACCTTACACCCTAAAGTCCAGGAGTCCCAGGTTAGGTCTGGCACTCTCCTTCATATGCCAAATAAAGAGACAGGATGAAGGGTAGAGAGTGGAAATTTATTACATGACAGTAATGGAAAGACAGCACTTCAGTACATCTCCAGCCATCTTCACTTCAGGTTAAATAAAGAGATTGGGGACAGAGAGTAAGAAAAGTATGTGTAGTTAAAATAGTCCCAAGCTACAGGTCTGGCCTGGCTCAATCTTTATCCCAGGAGGAATTCCAGAGAGGTTATTATTACCTTATTATACTAAAAAGGTTGCCTGAATTTTTGGCAGTTTTCTTTAAAATGATATGAAGAAGACATTGCTTGTTTGAGGAACAGTTTGCCTTCCATGTTTATCACTGAATCTTCTCTTTTCTCTTACAAACAGGGTGATTATTACGAAGGGAATGCAACAGAGAATAGCTCAGATCAAAGGTCATAGATACAAAGTTGGGAACTTTTAAATTCACAGGACCCAGCAAAAGCAACTTTTAGATCGACTCTTACAAGATTAATATTAGATCTCTTTGCTTATTTCACTGCTTAGTACTTATGATATAAGACAGGCAAGAAAAATAACCTTAGATTATATTCCTAGTCTATTACCAATGAATAATGAACACATGTGAACAACCATTTTATATATGTACTTTATGTTACATATAATTAATCTTTAGAAACTAAATCTATCAAACTTTCTTTCTAGGGAAGCCATTTTAAAGTGCTCCATTGAAAAAGTTTGCTCTGATGATGCCTTATCAAAGGAAAACATGGGTATGTTACTTACATTGAAGACTTTTTAAACTGTCTTTATGTTTCTCTTTCCTTGAATTAAATTTTCTCCAACCTTGTCATATGTTTCATTTTTCAAAAGCAAAGAACTAATGGATGTATTATCTGTGGTTAGGACACAGCATCTAAGATTAGGACACTACCACAAGTGCAGTCAAAGAACTACAAAGCAGAATTATATCTTAAGAGGTGAGATTGTAGCAGTTGAGGTCATGGTGGACTGGTTAACAGATTATTACCTGTTATCACCCATAGAGATGAGGTTAGCTGTTAAGGAACTAGTTCATTAAAGCTGTTGGGACTTGTGGTTTTACTATCTGATCAGGAAGCCAAGGAACTGAGGCTCTCTTTTGTGGCCTCTCCTCAAGTGGTTTGATAACTGTACCCTGGCTGCTTTTTATGGGAAGGCATGTGCCTGGCATTTAATCATCTTTGCCCTTCCCAGTTTAGTACTGTCAGTGGAAGGAAATGTATCAGTCTTTATAACCCCAAGGCCCAGCCCTGATGTGAAGAGTAGGATCCAGAAGGAGATCTATGACCATTAACTTAAGAGGTCCAGGATGTTGGATCTCTGGGGTTTTAAGAAGTAGATTATTGTGGCCCAAGGCACTTCCTTTTTCCTGTTTTACTAACAGTTATGGGAGGAAATGCCAGCGACTCTTTTCACACAAATCTAGGCTTCTCCATTCCAAACTTGGAATTCAAAGGAAGAGAAGGAAATAAAGTAATAGCCTGAAATTAATGAATTAATCAACTCATTATGAATATAATATACAATTATATATTACATATAATATGCACAATATAATCATATAATATATGACATGTATTATATAATTATATATTATGTAATTATCTATCACATATTTTATATATATAATATATATAATTATATATTATGTAATTATCACATATTTTATATATTATATTTTACATAATATATAATATGTAAAAAATAACATATAATATAGATAATAATAAACTAATAATAAAATATATAAAATATAACTATATAATATAATATAGTATATAAATAAATTAATGAATTGATTCTTGTGGGTAATATAACATAATAAGGGAAATATGAAAATGCAGGAAGAAAGTTTTATGTCTTAAAATTGATTTATTCTTCCTATATTTTCATTAGTATTGAAATTTGGGCAAATGCTTATTTGCAAGATAGAGCTTTGGCAGTCATGTTCAAAGCCAGTTAAACCCAGAGTTTTTAGTACCATAATTCTTCTCCCTTGAAGTTAGTCACAATGACATTATATTTAAGTTGGCTAATAAGCCACTCATTTATAGTCTCATTCAAAGTAACTGAAACAGGCTGTAGAAGGATGGAATATTTACTTTTTCTCTGTGTGTGTAGGTCCTGAGACTTGAACTCAGGGCCTGGATGCTATCCCTGAGCTTTTTTGTACTCAAGGTTAACGCTGTACCCCTTGAGCCACAGCTCTACTCCTGGTTTTTTGATGGTTAATTGGAGGTAAGAATCTCATGGGCTTTCCTACCTGGGGCTGTCTTCAAACAGTGATCCTCAGATCTCAGGCTCCTGAGTAGCTAGGATTGCAGGACTGAGCCACAGGCAAATGGCAGAATACTTTTTACAACTCTCTCTCCTAAACTATGAAATTATAACGAAACTCTTTTATATCTATCTCTTTTCAAATGTAATCTGCTGCTGTTTTCTAGCTGAGCAGGAAGTTTATTCTTGTTTACTTCTTCCCTTTGCCTCACATAATCATATGTTCCTGTAGAAAGGCAAGGCTGTTTGCCCTTGAACTGATTTCCTCCAAGTCAGGATCTGTACCTGAGGCCTTTAAAACAAGGATCTCTCTCCCCTGCCTCTTAGGGATTTATTTAGTATTACCTCCATTTCTCTTCCCTTCCTTTTCCTTTCTGAGTTCTTTCTTTTTTAAACAGTGATCTTTTCCTAGGTTTCATTGAGCTAACTTCATAACATTGAAATCTATTGTAATCTGCCTGCCTTGACCTGCACATACTTTTTCATCAAGACCATCCATTACAAAAGTCTCTGGCTTTACTTTCACTACTAATAATCAAGAATAGTCTGTCATAATATTTAGAATGGAGGTCACCAGCTGGTGAAAGAATTTACCAAGACAAGTGAATAGGGAAAGCAAAGATTTGTAGGTACAAGAGAGACACAGTTGATAGCTAACCAGTCAAAGAGGTATAGCTGATCACAGACATGATCAGAAGTAGTGTTGCTTTAGACCACTTTTGGTTGGCTATTCCCTGTTTTGTGGAACCTATTGGTTGGCTGTCTCCTTTTCATAATATGACTTAAGTTTCTCTAGTAGGAGATTGTCTTGAACCGTTGGTTTTCAAATCTGTGTTCCATCTGGCCTATCCTGTCCTTGACTTGGCTCCTAATTGCACCAGGGACTTGGTATTTCTCTGTCTACCATGTCACCTAAAATGAGGACTCTTCCACAGACACTTTATCCCCATTCATGGAAATTACAGAATTTTACTAAGGCAAACCCATATTTAAATTGTAAATGTGAAAGTGTACAAAAATGTCCAGAATGACTTATTTCATTAATTGGGATATCAGGTTGAGACAGGTTGGGGACTCACTTCTTCCTAGCAGAATTTGGGATAGGCCTGAGGGTAGTAAAGCTTTGTAAGAAGGAAACAGGAACTATTAAGAATGATAGTTTCATGTTAATTTCTTATTTGAGCTGCAGTTGTTAGATCCTTTCCTATGCCTGCCTACCAATGCCAGTCAAGCAAGAGGTTGCAAGCAACTACACTGCTTCTAAGATGGCTTGATTATTTTAAATCCTCCACTACCATTGCTGCAGGTAAACAGGCTCATCCAGAAGTCAACTAAAACTTCTCTTTGAGAGATCTAATACAGATAAAGACAGTTACCTCAGGCAATTAGATGAGATTCTAATAGTCCAGTCATGGAGATTTTGAGACACAGAGCCAGTTGAAGGTACAATGCTGGTTCCAGGTGCTAGATGTGAATAGGCAGTGGTTTGATGATTATGTCACAACAAGCATGACAGGAGGATCAAACTGAGCTGAAACCTCTGGTATAAAATCAGTTCATTACCTGGCTGGTCTGATAACGGGTTGACCTGTACCCCAGTCTTAGGTGTCCTTTCTCTTATATGTTTCAACTAAGGGGATTTGCGTCATTCAATGATCTGATGTGCTTGATAAGTTTATTGTTCTCATTTTTCACATGTGGGTTTGATACACCCATGTATATATTCTTGATTTAAAATAATATGTCTATAAGTGGTACTCTTTTATTTGCATAATTAAATTATCAGTCTGCCTCATAGTTTGTATTGGAAAGATGGTGGTCATTTATTTACATAAATAAGATGTAGTCATTCTGCCTCAGTTTTACACACAAAATGGTGCAAACTGCTGTTGTATAAAATGGAGTCACTTAGGCAAGGTACATCCTGAAGGCTATCATTCTATAAAATATGGAATAACATAAAGCAGGGATCAGCTTGATCTCTACAACATTTTTAAGGAAAGACCTAATCCAGAGAAAAGACTTTCTACATACTATCTCACTGTAACCCCTTGTTTTCCATAAAAGCACTTCACACTCTTTGAGCCATAGAAGATGGGAAATTTGAGATAGAAAAGTCTTTATTTTCCTCAGAACCAGCTTTAAATAAATTTCTTTCTTCCCACCAGTTTCTGTCCTCTGAGTTTTTATTAGAGCAGTGAGCAGTGACTATTTCAGATTTTGGTAACATCACCAGTGCACACAAGATACAGTACTATTGAAAAAGTCCTCTACAGTCATGTGGCATCTATTAGGTAGAAGTAATGAATGAAGACTTCTCACTAGTTGCCCAAACAAAGGGAAGTGAGTCTTACATTCAGTATGACTTTCAAATAATAGGTTTCCTATCCTATTGTCTTATCCCTTCATCTCCAGTGGACAACTAAACAGCTAGATTATCTAATCCACGGGGTTCTTTCCAAGAGATCACTTCCTAAGAATAGTGTTGGGCTTTTTTCATACTCTTCAAGACTGGTCTTATTTTATTTTTGAAAATATCTACCCATATTTCTGTGAACCCTCAATCCAAGCCTCTTATGTCTTTCATTTCTTCATAGCACTACCAGACCCAGGTCAAGATACTTTTTGCTTAAAAGCCAGTACTTGAAAAGGAAAGTCAGTTGAAAGGAAATCAGGTTTATTTAAAGACCAGCCCCAGGCTAGGCATCTGTGGTTCACACCTGTTATCCTAGCTACTCAGAAGGCTGAGATCTATAGGATAGATATTCAAAGCCAGCCTGGACAGAAACTTCTATATGACTCTATCTCCAATTAAGCAGCAAAATGCTTGACTGGAGGCGTGGTCAAATGGTTGTGCTCCAGCTGTGAGCAAAATCTCAGTGAATGTGTGAGGCCCTAAGTTCAAACCCTGATACTATTATTAACAAAAATAAAATTTAAAAAGGCCAGCCAGGAAAATTATAGTGGGTGAGTACCATACTCAAAAAGGCATTTTAGAGAAATCAAGTGCACAATGCCTTTTATAGAGGGAGAAATGAAGAATAAGAGAAAGCAGACTGTGCTGAGTAGGGTATTCTAATTAAGGACATATAGTATCCTTCTTTAAATTCTTCATGGCTAGAGTACCAATATACCTCATCCTCCTGAGACTATTTTCTATAGCTCTTTCGATAGTCATCTAACTTTTCTACAAATTAAACCTCAAAGGAACTTACATACTTCATATTATTTGATATACAAGACTAAAGCATGAATAGGGGCTTTACATATTCAGATACTGTCAACAGATATTCTGTTCTGAAATTTTAAAGAGAGATAATTTATCAGTAACATATTAATCTTATAAAACATTAGGATTTCTCTTCAGATACCACAAGTTTATTACCTTTTCATCAATTAGATTTGGCTTCCATTTTGAATTTAGAATGTCAGAGAAAGGGCAGGGAAGTAACTCTTCAAAGAATAATTCACAAAGGAATAGCCATTGTTATAATAGCTTAAGTTAGAGTCAGTCTTGCATCAAACATTAAACTTATCCCATATTCTCCATCTTCTTGAATTTATGCCCTACTTATTTCCTTATAGTTCCAGATGCTAAAAAGTTTTTTTTTCTCTTTTGCTCTGGAGCCATATAAGCTTGGAAGAAAATAGTTAATATATGAAATATTTGGTTTCTGGAATGAGTCTTAGTGGAAGCATGAAGATGTAAGAGCCTGGGTCTAGGAATAGGAAGGATAAAATGTTTTATCTTACTACTCAAGGAAATAAAAGATGCCTACAGACTCTTGGTTTGGCATTTTCTTTACTTCCAAGCTAAAAAGTTGTGTTAACTTTCATCTCTTCTTCCCTCTATCTAATTTTCCCAAAGCACTATTTTTTCTTCTTCCTGTTTGCGTATTTAAGAAGAGTGGTCTTGATTGCATCTCAACTTGTACTTTTCTCATCTATTTGTTTATATTGAAAGCACACAGAAGTCTGGTTACTTAAAAAAGCAAATGCTTGTTCTTCCTCTTCAACTTTCTCCTCCTCTTCTAGAATTTCAGCAATGAAATTGCCCTGAAATGTTAGTTTTTCCAAGGCAACTTGGGGTATCTAAACTCATAGCCACTAAATAGGGGACGAAGTATTTTTTAATGTTTTTATACAGAAGCAAAGAATGAAAAAAATTACATTTACTGAAACAGAGTGTTGTTTCTTATCAGGAATGAAAAAAGAACAGTGACTGATTTTACACTCATTGCCTTTACAAGCCAGATATGATGGACTTCAGTATTAGAGATTCTCTGTCTCTCTGTCTCTCCCTTTCTCTCTCGCTGTGTCTCTCTCTGTGTCTGTCTGTCTGTGTCTACGTCTGTGTCTGTTTGTTTCTGTGTGTCTCTGTCTCTCTCACACACACACATCAGTGGTAACTGTAATGGTATCACTTTATTCTCAACAAAAAATGGAAACAAGTCAGGAAACCTATAGAGTAATCAGTATTGATAGAAGATGATGGGTCATATAATTGCCAAAGGGATTCACTTTGTCTTTCTTTGGAGGATATTATTGAGAAATTTTGATAACCTATTTTACAGTTTACAGTAACTGCTATTTCTAGAGTATTATTTTGGAACTTCAATTCACAACTTTGATATACCTATTTAGGAAACAAGCCTCTCATTGCTTTGGAAGCAGAATAGAAGATTAACTTGACACCAAATTGTTATGAACCCTGTCCCTTCTGACCAGAAGGCACTGTAGGCATTTCTCTAAATCACTTAAAAAATAAGAGCTTACAATGCCATTTGTTACCAAAAATTGATTATATTTTAGCCTAACATTAGAAATATAAAGATGTTTCTTGACTACTTTTCCTTTCTAGTATGACTCAAAATCCATTTTTTCAACAGTGTCAGTTTCCATGGAGTTAGAATATGAAGCAGAAAAATCTGCTTTTGAGTAAGACAGGAAAATCATTATGAGTACAACCATACTATTTATATATTAGTAGGTTACTAATAAGAAATCTACCCCAAATGGGAAGTTAATTGCATTAAAAGCACTTCAATGGAAGCTACATTCTTCTAGAAAATTCTGACTCAGTGGACATGTAGTTTTGTCTATATTGTTACATAAGTCCCTCAGGCAATTCTATGTCTATCAGATTTTGAATGGCATCGTTCTATAAGGAAATATTCTGTGTTCTTAGGCTTTAGCAACCTGTTTTTGTTTGGGTAAAAACACTGTATTTTTTGTTTGGTTTTTAGTTTGAGGAATTACTCCAAAGTGTGTAATGGCTTATCAGAAAGCATCTTCCAAATTATTACTTTTTGTTGTTTGTCCTTCCTTCCTTCCTTCCTTCCTTCCTTCCTTCCTTCCTTCCTTCCTTCCTTCCTTCCTTCCTTCCTTCCTTTCTTTCTTTCTTTCTTTCTTTCTTTCTTTCTTTCTTTCTTTCTTTCTTTCTTTCTTTCTTTCTCTCTCTCTTTCTCTCTCTCCCTCCCTCCCTTTCTTTCTCTCTTTTTCTCTTTCCTTTCTTTCTTTCTGAGTTAAGCTGAGTAGATCAGGTTGGCCTCCAGCTGCCATCCTCATACTTTACCCTATTGAGTTCTGGGATTACAAGCGTGTGCCACCAGACCCAGCTCAGATTGCTTTGAAAGAAGTTTGGTTAAGATGACTAGAAAGAGATTATGACCAGGAAAGTTTATTAGTCCATACTTATTCTCTTGAGTTTCTGGTTCATAATAGATCCTAATAAAGTAGTTATTTGTTGATTGAAAGTGTTTAGGGAGGGCTGGGAAGATGGCTCAGTGGTAGAGCGCTTGCCTTGCATGCCTGAGGCCCTGGGTTCGATTCCTCAGCACCACATAAGCAAAAAAGAAAAAAGCCGGAAGTGGCGGTGTGGCTCATGTGGTAGAGTGCTAGCCTTGAGCTGAAGAGCTGAGGGACAGTGCCCAGGCCCAGAGTTCAGGCCCCACGACCGGACCCAAAAAAAAAAAGAAAGTGTTTAGGGAAAATAATACTGACAAAAATAATTTTTGTAGACAAAATTACAATGTAAGATGAAAAATTATATTCCCACTACTATAACAACAAGTAATAAAGGTAAATTTTAAAGATATTTTTATTCGTACATATCAATTATACAATCTTTTCTTTGTGACATTCTGTATATGTATCTCATGTGCTTTATTCATCTTCATTCCTTCTGTTATACTCAAAGAAAGAAACTTTCTGCCTTATGACTTGCCATGATTTTATTTAACACTATCATTAATAACCATTTTAACAGGACTAGAATTTTTCTTGATGTGAATGCTCCATGATTTTTCAGCTGCTCTACCTGGGTTTTGATAACCTGCCAAAATGGCAGATAGTAGGAGGTGGTATGTTAGTTTTTAGTAATCAAAGTGGAAGATGAAGGGATATAGACTCATGGCTGTTCCCTCCAAATTATATTCTTGTTGGAAGGGCTTTTCTGATTCTCCATCTGTCTCTGGTGTAGCACAGCAGGTTACATATGGCCTATTTTCTGTGATCTTTGCATCAACATGACCCTATATAAAATAAAAATATGAGTCAAGAATTCAAATTCATATTGTTAATTGGTGTTTTGATTTTATAGAGTTATACAGGCTTTTATTTGTTTGGGAAATTATTTTTAACTCAAGTTCAATGAGATTATTATTTTTTTGCCTAAAAATTTGCATCAAAGTAATGCAAAATATACTTTATAAATGCAGTAATTTCTTTTCTACAACAAAATTGGAGAACTGAGAACTGAGATATTTTGCAATTTAGGTTAGAAATGGATGAACAACTCGACCCTCTCTCTCTCTCTCTCTCTCTCTCTCTCTCTCTCTCTCTCTCTCTCTCTCTCTCTCTCTTTCTCTCTCTCGGGTTTGAGCTTGCAGCTTGTGCTTCAAAATTAGGTACTCTATCAACTAGTTTCTCCCCTTGTTGTTTATTTTAAATTATTTGATTTTTTAAATTAACATATATTTGTAGTATGAGAGGGTTTCATTGTGATATTTCCGTAAATGCACACAGTGCACTTTGAACAAACTCACATTATACATCACATTCCTATTCTACTCCCTCTCCTTCCCTCTTTGTATGGGTTATTTTTGTGTTACAGCCTCACTTTCTGACCAAGTGCACATCTGGACTATAATTATTTTTCACTTCACACCCAGATTTCTTCATTTGTGTTAGAATTTCATGGAAATTTCTTCCCTGGGCTGTTCTGGAACTGGAACTTTCTTCTTTTTTTTGGTCGGTCATGGGGCTTGAACTCTGGGCCTGGGCGTTGTTCCTAAGCTCTTCAGCTCAAGGCGAGTGCTCTACCACTTGAGCTACAGCGCCACTTCCGGTTTTCTGGTAGTTTATTGGAGATAGGAGTCTCACGGTCTCTCCTGCCCGGGCTGGCTTTGAACCGCGATCCTCAGATCTCAGCCTCCTGAGTAGCTAGGGTTACAGGCGTGAGCCACCAGCGCCCGGCTGGAACTTTCTTTAGCTTCCCATCTGGATAGAAGGACAGGCACACATCATTGGGCCCAGCTATTGTTAGAGAAGCAGGGGGTCTCAAGAATTTTCTGCATGGGCTAGCCTCAAAGTACAATCTTCTTGAGCTTAGCCTTCCAAGTAGCCAGGATTACATGCTTTGGTTTTCCTTTTAAACAGTTTTAGTAGCCCATAGTATGGGTTGGCAAATTGGCCCACAGGCCACCAGCTGTTGCTTGTTTTGTAAGTTAAGTTTTATTCGAACAGCCATTCTTGTTTATTTATGTGCATGACTATAGCTTTTACTACAATAGCAGAACTGAACAGTTATTATAGGGATCATCTGGATCATTAGCTTCAAAAAAATTACAAAAAATCTAGTTTAGTATCTTGGGACCATAATTTTAAAAGCTATACAGCAACTTTTCTACTAAGATTTTGATATTTCAAAGTTATTTAATAGTGTGTGCATAATATCACACTTTTCAAATAATTACAGGAGATTCATCTGGAGATAAAAATGTAATTCTGCATAAACAAGGATCATACACTGTAACATTTGCAAGTTTTCTTCTTTCTGGATTATTAAGGTTATGAATTAAATGTAATTAATTAAAGGATATACTATGTTAAATTATTTTCCTTTAGTTGTCACTGAAACAGAAATTTTACTGAAAGAGCTGGAAAAAATGTTACAACAAGCACTTGAGCCCACATCAATGCCTGATGGATCTAAGGGAGAACAAGAAGAAATCAATACAGGAGACAAGGTAGTATTGGTATTTATCATGAGGTTTAAATAGTAGCAACTTCAAATTTTTTAAATTGCTCCTGGTTGCACAATTCTAATTTCACAGAATACCTTTTATACATCTGAAATTTGAGCCTTGATTATCATATTGTGAGTAATAAACCAGTGATAAAAATCAGAAATACATCAATTTAAGCAGAATTGTTTTTTTAATTTTAAAACTTTAGGTTTGGGATAGAAGATGGAGGGGCTGTGATAGCTGAGGTAGTCTACTATAGAAAGACCTCTTCCCTGCTCTTACCTTTGCAGTTAGGTACAAAGGCCAGAACAATAAAGATGGTCACTGAGCAAGGATATCAGCTGTCTGGAAAATGTGCCAGGTCTGGTCTACGCATTGGAATAACCTCTATAAAACTTCATTATTCACATAAGGTCCACCATTTATATCTGGTTACTATCCTCCTTTGTCCAATTGTATTGAACTCGGGAAGGCCATATGTGCTTCCTTTATTTGTGTCTTTGGAAATAAAATGAGGAATTGTTTAACAAAACTCAGATCATTAATGGAAAGATCCAATCTTACAGATGTGAGAAAAATAAGTTACACACAGCTGTGTGTGTATATACAAGGTACTACAGTTATTCCTTAAATAGTTAGAAAATAGGCTTAAGACTTCATCCATTCATTCAGATATATACTGTGAATATCATCCAAAGAACATATTAAAATTAACTCAAATATAATGCCCAAGTGCTCCAAGTCCTGGTCCTACCATTAAAGATATGTATAATTTAGTGAAATTATTCATCATCTGCCTTGGACAATCATTTTAAGGACTAAATAAGGTAAACTAGAATAAATGCTAGGCATATAATCAGATAGCATTATATATGAGAGTAGGCAATGATAGTTTCTAGCGAGAATGAGCACTTCATTATCTTATCTACCACATTTTCACTTAAACAGCTGCCATCCCAAGTCTGTTTTCAGATGAAAGAAGTGTATTTAGAAAGGTAAAGGTGGCTCCTACATTTGGCTGACATACTGATTTCATTTCTAACTTCAGCAAGTACAAAAAGGAGGCTTCTTGTTATTGTTGTCTTATTGAGAAAGGGTTTTGCTAGGTAACCCAGGCTAGCTTCAAACTTGCGATCCTCCTGCCTCAGCATCCTAAGTGGTGGGATTACAGGTATATACTCCCTCTCCTCCTCAGCAGCCTTACCCACTTCCAGCTAAAGATGGAATTTTTGAACACTTGATATATTGAGTTAGAAATTAAGGAAACATGCATAATTTTCCATCAGAGAGATAAATGTGTTTGTTAGAAGAAAATAAAACTAATGCCAACTCTTGCTGAGTTGAAAAACATTATTAAATTGACCATCCAACTTACATGAATTTACATGCATTATACATACCAATTAAAGTTCCTTTCTTAAAAGATGTTTTTCTGTGCAGATCTGTTGTGTAATAAGATCTATAATATAAACAGATGTCATCCATCTTAAGTACACCTGATATATAAATTACTATTTTCTAGCAATTGTCGTCTTTATTTGGGCATCTTATGTTTGGTCCATGTTTTCTTCAGTCCTAACAGTTTTTCTTTCCAAAATTACAGACAGGTTGACCTTTACAGTGATGTCCTGGAACCTTTTCAGTCAACAAATTGGTTTCGATTTTGCCATCAAAAACTAGTGACTTCATAGAATAAAAAATTATTTCTGATTTTTATTTCTTATAATAAAGTACATACTTTTATTATGTCATTAGGCAGGGGCTTGCTTTTATTTTAAATTCTTATGTTATGCTTTCAAAAGGCATTCAGGAATTGTAAAAAGTAATTATTTCAACTTGCCGCATGGTAGGAGTGCCACCTTCTGGCAGACTCCTTACTGTTCTCCATACTCTTGCCAGGCTCAAGATTAAAAGGGCCCTGTTCACTGTTAAATGAAATAGCAAAAAAACCATCAAAGTTGGTTTCCAGTTTGAAAGTATACAAATAATCACCTCTGGGATATCTTCTTTGGTTTCTTTTGGTTAGTACAAAGAACTAATATGGCTTCCAAACACAACTGTACCTACACTGGAGATATGCGATGTCTTTTTAGGAGAAATACCCTCTGATAAGCTAAACACGTTAAAAGGATTTATCTGGGCCTGGCTTACTTCACGTAATATAATTTTTTACAAGTCTTTCCATTTCCTAACAAATGGGGCAATGTCATTCTTTCTGATGGAGGCATTGAATTCCATTGTGTATATATACCACATTGTCTTAATCCATTCATCTACTGAGGGGCATCTGGGTTGGTTCCATATCTTAGCTATGGTAAATAATGCTGCAGTAAACATAGTCATGCTGGTAGTTTTAGTATGGTCTTGTTTGTGATCATTTGGGTAAATGCCCAAAAGTGGGATTGCTGGGTCATAGGGGAGCTCTATGTGGAGTCTTTTGAGGAATCTCTATACTACTTTCCAAAATGGTTGAACAAATTTACACTCCTACCAACAATGCAGTAAGGTTCCATTCTGTCCACATCCCCTCCAGCCATGTAATTGTAACCCCTCTGTATGGTATTTTCACAAAAAAAAAAGAAAAACATTTTTTTTAAAAAATGATTTATCTGATCATTTAAAGCTATTTTCACAGCTGTATATGTGATCATACACACACACACACACACACACACACACACACACACACATATTTTGCAGTCGTGGGGCTTGAACTATGGGCCTGAGCACTGTCCCTTAGGTCTTCAGCTCAAGGCTAGTGCTCTACCACTTGAGCCATAGCACCACTTCCAGTTTTCTGGCAGTTTATTGGAGATAAGAGTTTCATAGACTTTCCTGCTTGGGCTGGCTTTGAACGGCGATCCTCAGATCCACGCCTCCTGAGTAGGTAGGATTACAGGCGTGAGCCACCAGCGCCCGGCTTGATCATATTTTTTATCATTCATTTCACCTGTGAAATGAATACCTTCAGCATTTCCACCAGTGGGTGAAAATAATACCACGTTAGGAAAAAATCATATACCATATGTTACCAGAATTCTTTCCTATTTGCCACTGAAGTGCTTTTAGAGATCATATTCCTTGGTAGAGTCACTTTCTTAATTAGGCTCTCCTTTAGCTAATATTAAAAGTGGCAGATCCTGATTTGGTAAGCAATTGGAGGAAATTAACTAAATTTTTCTAAATATGCCTGAGTAATTAAAAAATTGGAATTATATACAAATATGATGACTTGCTACATAATAATTTGGACTTAAAAGTACAATTTATATGTTAAAATGTATAAACTACAAGTATGTTCTTTTTTCTCTTTGAATTGCATGAGAAGTCAGTCCTAACATTAATAAACTCGAAACTATAAATCTCATGCGTATGCGTTTGATGAATACACACATTTTACCACTATTCTCCCCTACTCAGCTAGAACATATAGTGACTGTTCAATGTAAATAAGCTAGGAGAAGCTAACTACAGAAACTGTGATTACACCTTCCTAGTTATAATTTTGAAAATAAACCTGTGGGGGTTGGTTAATATCAAAATACAGTATGTCAAAATACAAAAATGACCAAAGGAATCTCACTGAAATCTGTTGAATATTAGCTTAGTGGGAGTAGGAAAGTAAAACAAATAAAAGATATTAATTAAAATATAATATAGGCATATGCAAATACCAGGGAGAAACTCCATGGTACAATTAAAATCTACAAAAAAAAGTGAATGACAGGTTCTGTTGGAGGAAGGGTATCAATGGGATAGGGAAAGGCCAATGAGATTGTGAAAGAGATGGAGGTGAATGTGGTCAAATTACTTCAGATACATGGAAGAGAAAAGAGAAATGAATCCTGTTGAAATTGTTTTAAGAAGAGGAGAGGGGCAAAGGGAAAGTGATACACAGTGGGTTAGAGTGATGGAGTTCCTTGTATTCATGAATGGAAATAGGTTCCATTGTGAAGCCTTTCCTTGTACAACTAATGTATACTAATAAAAAATCTTAATTAAAATAGAAAATGTTTACATAGTCCCAAACAAATGTGGAACCAAAAATTGGCAATATTGAGGAATTAGAAACAGAGCTTAAATAATAACTTTTTTGTGAGAGAGCAGTCATTTGGTTTGCACTCAAGACCTTGAACTTGCTAGGCAGATGCACTACCACTTAAGCCATGCCTATAGTACTATTTTGCCTTAGTTATTGTTCAGATAGGACCTTAATGTTTTACCTGGAGCCAACCTTGGACCACAGGAACTTCACTAGGGTTTAGCTACGGCCTCTTATGTAGCAGTCATGTACCTTCCTGTCTAGCTTGTTTGTTGAGATAGAGTCTTGCTAAGATATAGAACTATAATCCTGTCAATCTCTGCCTCCCAAGTAGTGGGGATTATAGGCATGAGCCATGGTGCCCAACCAATAATAACTTCACCACACACAGGATACATTATACTATTATATTTGGGATTCATTATTTGATTACCAGCAAAGAAAACTTTGTATACTGCTGTGGCTTGAAAAGTTAGTTTTATTCTAATAGTGAAGTAACGTTCTAATGAATTCTCTGGTTGTTTTGCAGTTATCTGAATGCGGTCTTGAAGCTCTGGAAAGCAGTTCATGTCAGATCCACCAGGAAGATGACTGTGTTGTAATTGATGGAATAAAATTAAAAGCTGGAGAATGTATTGAGAAGATAACTAACAAGTTTAAGGAAATAGATGCCTTAATGTCTGAGTTTTAGAACATACATATTTTCAAAAGCTAATACAACAATACTGGCATCTTTATCTTTTGTCAAAGTCAGAAACTTCAAAAGCTTTAGTAATATAGGTTTACAGCAGGTTGATATTTGTAATCACTTTCTACTTGATATTTTGAGAATGCTCAGGGTTTGGGGAACCAATCAATTAGTATCTAAGTTAAGGTTAGAATTTATTTCACAAACCTTGGATTATTTTGTCTTAATTTTAAAATGATTTGTGAACCTTACCTCCTAAATATGTGATTTACAATAAATATTTAAGCCTTTTATTCAAATGTGACTAAGAAATAAAATGGCTACACATGCTATTACAATTCTTAGAGATAATTAAATCTACTACATTTAGAGAACATTTGTTTGTAGTAGAATTGAACTATATACACAATAAAAGACAATATAGAGTTGTATAATAAAGTTGCTAGTTTCTTTTTTCTTGTCAAGGTGATGTACACAGGGGTTACAGTTACATAAGTATATTTCAAAAATTTGTTACCCCTTTCCTCATTCTTTTCTCCCGCTTGCCCTCTCCCCCAACCCCCTCCGAGTTGTTCAGATCATTTCTAGCATACTGTCTTATGACTATCCCTGTTGCATTGGTTCCCCCCATGTTCTTTGTCTCGCCATTCTGTTGTTCTCCTTCCATAATTTGGATAAATGTATATACAATACTAGGGTACCAAAATCAAATACAATGACAACAGGGGATATACCATAGGGAGAAGAACATACAAAAGAAACAAAAAAAATCACATAGTACATTAAAAACAACAACAAGGAAAAACCTCTTGTGTCCATGTCTTGGAGTTCATTTCGCTTACCATCATCTTATATGGTCATTTGTACATAGTATTGAGCTATTGTAATCCTCTTCTAGGTATATACTAATTATTACAATGAGGGAAACCATGAAGCTATATTTCTTTGGCTCTGGCTAACTTCACTTGACATGATTTTTTCCAAGTATTTCCATTTCCTTACAAATGGGGCAGTGTCATTCTTTCTGATGGAAGCATAGATAAGTGCACTAAAGGCTTAAAGAGAGACTTCTCTGAAGAGTAAATAAGAATGGCCAATAGACGCATGAAGAAATCTCAACTTCTCTAGACATAAAAGAAATGCAAATCAAAACAACATTGAGATTCCACCTCACCACAGTTAGAAAGGCTAGAATCAAGACATCTAATAACAACAGATGCTGGAGGGGATGTGGCCAAAAGGGAACACTGCACTGTTGGTGGGAGTGTACACTTGTTCAACCACTTTGGAAAGCAGTATGGAGGTTCCTAAAAAGACTCCACATAGAGCTCCCCTCTGACCCAGCAATCCCACTTTTGGGCATTTACCCAAATGACCACAAAAAGGGCCATACTAAAGCTACCAGCACATCTACATTTATGGCAGCATCACTCATCATAGCTATGTTGCAAATTTCTCAAAAGTCAATTGCCTCATAGTACTGGAAACAACTACCACAGACACCTTTCTTCAGACTTCCTGCTTAAAGAATCTCTGGGAAATTTTGGAACATCAGGATTATGAACACTTACTTGCCTATTAATCAGTATCTCTATAGAGCTGAGTGTGAGGAAATACAATTGATAATGTATCAAGAGAAGTTAATCTGGCTATAAAAACTCCAACAAACTAAAAGTAAAAAGTACATCATTGTTCTGTGCTCCTATGAGCAGTGTTAGTAGGTGCCCTTCCAGGTCTTGTCCTATACATTGCAGAATAGGTGTATGTGCATACCTATCATGGTTCCTGCTCTTGCATTCTCTGTGCCTCCTTCTGTGGCTAGATAAGCAAGGACATTCCAGGCACATAAAGACAAAAAGTAAGACAAAGCTTAAAGTAAGAACAATAGCAGGAGAGAATGAGGGCACTGCTCTTACCTGAATGATCTGGATTGATGTGTATGTTGATAGGATCCCCCAGGAGATCTGTGAAGAGGCAGCTTCAGGAATTCTATTGGCATACTGTAAGAGCTGGAATTACGGTATTACTTCAGCAGAGAGAAGTGGGTAGATTTAAGCGAAGTTGATTACATCAATGATTTATTAAGATTTGGAGGCTGTAGGAGTGAGACTGAGGAACATGTCTGGGAAAGGAGGGAGGAATCAAGGAAGACTCTAGAGTTCTGGTATTCACAATGCTGTTCACTGAGATAATGCATGAGATAATACACTGAGATAATAAAATTGATCAATTAGATCAATTTTATGACATGCAGCTAATACCTCTTAGTGGAACAGCCAGTGCTCATTATCTTCTGATTTCAAAGACAGGTACTGAAATTTCCATACTGAACTAATCTCTGCCAACATTTTGGTTGTAGAAGTCTTATAGATTTCCACTAAAGTCTTTGTAAAGCTGACTAGCTCAGAATGATTCTGAGGACAAACATTTGGGTTGGCTTTGTCTGCAGAGGAAATTGCAGTATGTTTCCAACAAGAGGCTTGATCCTCTGTCCATGAAAAATATATAGGCTCTCCAGTTTCACAATAGACTGTGCTACTAAACAGTATGAGGAAGCAATGGACTTACAACTCTGTCTCTGGGACTCATAATCTTGCCTGGATAGCCCACTCTCTTCCTGTAGATATCCCATGTTCTGATGTACTGACCAGGACATATAGGAGGGACACTGGGTCCTCCATGCCTGTCTTCAGATCTTAGTGTAAACCACCTACTATCTGATGATCCAAAACAAGTTACTTAACTTCTCTGAGCTAAAGCTTTTTCCAAGTTGAAAGTGGAAAAGAAGGAATCAACATATATAAAGTATATGACAGCCATAACCTCCATAAAATAATGCTGGTTACAACTAAACCTCTCCTGAGACTAACAAACTAATGAACTTATTTTGCAGAACCCAAGGTGACACACCTGCTTCTGGGGGACTAGGACTGAATATTCTGTGATCAACTAACTTTCAGCACAAACTCAAACTGAGAGATGCCTTGTATTTACAGCTAAATTTTTTTGCCAAATCTACATGAGAATAACATTAGGAAGTTGTATCTGCCCATCAAAAGAAGTTAAATTCAAGCTTACTAGTATGTTGGAAATGAACTGCACAACTTGGGAGGGGGTGTGGATTGGGGGAAGGGTAAGTGGGAGAAAAATGAGGGAGAGGATAACAAGTTGGACAAGAAATGTACTCACTACTTTACATATGTAACCGTAACCCCTCAGTACATCACCTTGACAATAAACTTTTTAAAAACCCAACAAAGTATACCAGTCATACCAAAGTTTAAATGTGCTGTAAGTCAATATGCTAGGACATTTGCCTAAACATTTGATTTGGAATGATACATTCTTGTCCAGGTATATGATTAGTTTACTGATCCTTTTTGGAATGAGTAGGGTCCAGCCCTTCTGCTTTAAGTCTACAATAATGAGTTAATAGAAGATCATCGGAAGGGCTGAGTTAAATCTGTAGAACTTAAGAAGCTAATTGTCAATGCTATCTCTGTTAAACCCATATTCCTAGGAACATTGGTCCATTAATCCCATGCTGGAAGTTAAATTTTTCAGGAACTTCAGTGGTAAAATCCTTAACTTGTATGCTTTGAACAGATAAGCCTTGTTGGCTACCATCAACAGAGGTATTATAAGGAAAGTGAATTCACACACTTGCAAGTCTGTATTTGCTACAGCCTCAATTCTCATACTGTCCTGTTGGTCTTAGATAATCCATTCACTAATAGACAAGCACAATTACAAGTACTGTAAATAGGACTAGCAGCTATATAGAAATAATTATTAGTCAGATTATTTTATGAGTGTTTCATGAAATTGAGGAATAATGATTGTGGTCATCATGCTGTGCAACAAACTTACCTCTCAAAATTTGGGATACAGAGGTCCTTTTCCACCTCTCGATTCTAATACTTCAGCCATATGGCCTTCTCTATGATTTTTTCTGTGTATTTCATCCCAGTTAGTACTGTGTGATTTGCAAATTGTGATTTGAAGCCAACCTGAGCCAAAAGCACTGAAAGTCTGTCTCTAAAATAACCAGCAAAAAGCTGGGCAAGAGGCGCCAACAGTAGGGTGCCAAGTAGTAGGGCTCACATAATAGGGTGCTAGCTGGTCAAGAGACCTGATTAAACTCAAATCCCTGAGATCAAAGCCTGGTACCAGAAAAATAAAAAGAGAAAAGCCCAGTTTTCTAGCAAAATTTAGAACCAATGGAAGTTGTGAAATTAGAAAATAAAATAGTCTCTTACTGTTAGCCTCTACCAGAAAAAAGAAATCCTTAAAATATAAAGGCAAGGGTGGGGTTGCTAATAAGAACTAGAGAAGCAAAAGACCAGGTGACTTTTAGGAAAATAGGACCTTAGGATAAAGACCCGGTCAAGTGGGTGGCTATAATATCACACCATGTTACAAGGCGACTCTGGAGAGCTTTCATTTAGACAAAACTCTGAATAATCTTCTAGGTACAGTATCTTGGTCCCCTGAGAATACCCTAAACATCTATAAGTAAATTTGGACAAAAAAACGAGTTTGAAAAAAAAGTATTATTTTAGACACAGAGTATGAACTGGGATGAAATACACAGAAAAGGCCATGTGGCTAAAGTATTAGAATTGAGAGGAGGAAAAGGACTTCTGCATCCCAAATTTTGTAGAGGTAAGTGTGCTGCACAGCACGATTATCACAATAGTCATCTGATGCATTTGAGTTCTTGATTCCAACTCTTGTGGCAAGTTTCTCTCTGTATTGGGCCTGTAGGAGTTCTTGTCCCTGGGGTACTGCCACTATCAAAATGGATCTACATCCTGGGTTGGGCCCAGTGTGTGAGCTTGAAACCTGTCCAGCAGCCTTTCCAACTCAGCCTAATTCTGGCCCCCCAAATGCCCCTCAACTTAACCCTTTGTTCCTAAGTCTTAGTAAAAACAACATTATTTTTCTTCATCAGGGAGACAGCATGTACACCAGTTATACATTGATCACTAGAAAAACCAGTGAATACATCACTAAGAGTTATTGAGTTAATCACTTCTTCCTGTAAGTACTATAGACTTCATGCAGTTAGATATACCCATAATATGGAATATCTCCATTTAGTAAAGAAACATGTGTGTGTATTTTCAACCCCACTTTTCTCCCATACCTCTTTAGCATTTTACTATTGTATCAAGTATAGAGTGATCAAAACAACAAAACCTGGCTCTAGATTTTGCCTACTAATTTGCCTAAGTATAACGAAAATAAATAAAAGGGCCAAAACTGAAGTGCATTTCTATTTAATTACTGCCTATATTGTCTCAATGTGCTGTTTACTAACTTGGTGATGGAACAACCTAATTTTCATAGGTAAAATTGTTATGGAATTATCAAAAGCAAAAGTTCTTATGAGTAAAGATATTTTATGTGGATATATTTGCAAATCAAGTTGATCTTCTGTTTGTTCTTT